CTCGCTGCATCCCCTATAAAACTATGCCCCTATACACACACTCTCTACAGCCCCTAGCCACACATATTACACCACAAACACAAATTAAATTGACCTATTTATACAATACCACACCACACTCTACACACATGCAATCCCACAAGCAGGCTCCAAACATATGCACCATGCACTTTCCTGGCCCTTTTGTCCTCTGGTATCCCACTTGTGGAGACACCAGAGACAATTTAAAAGCAAACACAGCACAAGCATGTTATTAAATTTGCTTGCGCTGCGCAGAACAAATTCAGGGTCTTTTTCTAATGTCAGAGCTCTTCAGCAGTGCTCTGGGCATTGAACCAACATGCTCACTGAGAGGGGGCGTGTTGTCATTAGTGATGACAAAACACACACTCTCTGGCCCCGCCCCTTTCTTAGGGGGCCGCTCTGATTGAAAAATGCCCGGGCCTAATTTTTTTCCCAGTCCGGCCCTGGTGGCCACCACATATATATATTACAAAGAATACAGGATTTCATTAATAGGAGTGGTTTACTCACTTAATAGTGTGTTGGTAGAATTGGCAATGGATGTGCAATATTTAGGGGTCTTATGTAACAGTTAAACATACTTTAAGATGCCCTTTAATGGGATATCACAAACTGTTGCATTGGGAAGCCAATTTTAGATTAAGGTAGCATTGGGAGGGGGGCGGGGTTATATTTAGGAGAACCTGCATTCAAGGAACTGTGGGCCATAACTCCCATCATTCTTAGCCAGGCAAAGAACAACCCTAAGCACCCTTCAACTATAGTTTTAGCATGTGAATTATTTCCAACTGCATCTTACAAATGCAGCATTATTAAAACATTAATTGAGCTTTTAGGCTCCAATTTTAGAAATGAGTTGTCTGTTCTTCCCCTAATCTGGAATAGTTGAGAGAACATAAATGCAGAATACATTTTATGATAACTTATTTATAAATTGCATCAACATCAAGACTCACTGGAACGAAGAGGACACACCCCAGCAATGTGCCAGTAAGGGCTGACTTTACCACTTCCTCTAGGCACTTGGTCCCTTCTCGAGCTCCTTTAATCAATGCAGTAATGTAGAAGGTCAATTCAATCATGGAACCGAACGTAGCATTGACCACTGCACCCACAGCAAAGTTACTCTGGGCCGAGACACTGACACAGCAAAGTTTAAACATTTCATATCAAGTTTAAATACTTGAAAGTAAATTAAATAAAATTTAAAAAAAAATAAAAAAAACTTATATTAATGCATTTTGGAACAGCTCAGAATGTTCATTTCTACTTGGCTTGGTACTGGTTAAACAGCAAGGACCAAAGTTCATAAGCAAGTCTTTCTAACCCAGTCTTATACCCACCTCTTTAGACCAGCACATAATAAATACTATCCATATTGTCTTTGTCTCAGTTTTATTTTTGAGATTAATCATTCCAAAGAAGGGTTTCTGCACCATTCAGTAGCTAACCAGAAGTTTATAATGTTTTTTGATTGACATTGCATACTAGTCTTTGAGAACATTGAACGGGGCACTTAAAGATGTTTAGGCAGATTTTATAGGCAAACTATACAACATTTATCAAGCCAATCAAATAATGTACCATGTACAAAAATGAATGCATGTTTGTTCAGGCCTTCATCCAGGGTCTTATTTATGTGTATGCACATTCACGGTGTATGACGTGGCCATAAATAGTTTGCACTCAATGCAAGACTGCCTTGACACACTCGCATACAATTCAAAAAGTGCATAAATCTATTTACCGTACAGTGTAGTTAAAGAAATTAAATTAAAAAAAATTGTCACATTATGAAATCACACAAAGTGAAATACATAAATTACATACAAAAATATATCAAACGTGTGCATATAATATGATATTTGTGTATGGAATTTATGTAGTTCAGTTTGTGTGATTTAATAATGTATCTATTGTTTTGCACACTGTTTGTGTTAGCTGGATAAAGGCTCCTGTGGAAACTGCAACACCATCTATATGTGCCTTTGAACTTTCTTCATGATTAAGAATACATTTGGAATGGTCCACCTTAGTCTGGAAGCACTACTGGTGGAATTCTTAGCGAGTGTCACTCCAATTTATGCACTTTTTGAATTGTATGCTACTGTGTCAAGGCAGAGTCTTGCATAGAGTGCAAACTAAAGTGGAGTGACAGTCGCTTAAAATTGGAGAAGGAAAGGGAAATTGTTACCATCAGACTGGCTAATCCCCTTTAACCCCTTAAGGACCAAACTTCTGGAATAAAAGGGGATCATGACATGTCACACATGTCATGTGTCCTTAAGGGGTTAAAGGATTATTTGCAACCCTGAAAAAGTTTTAATACTAATGTTTAAGACTTGTTCAGCAACATCAGTGCATACAAAGTTAGTTTAGTATTGTTAGTAGAGATGCACCGAAATGAAAATTCTGGGCCGAAACTGAAAATTCAGGATGCCCTTGGCCGAAAACAACTTTTTTCCCCAAATGATTTGTGCAGGTTATGTAATGTGTGTATGGAATATAGTGAAGTGTGGGAAAGGAATCTAGTTTGTATGTTATGTAGTGTGTGTAAGGCACACTGTGTGGGGTGTGATTGGCTCTCTCCCCGGGAAGACGGGAGGGGCCTCGCACCTGGTGGCACACGGGCAAGCAGCGGCCCCCTCCCAATGTTGGGTACTCTGTCATGGACCGAGGACCTGTAAAGTCACTCTTCCCTAAGGCACTCTGCTACTAGGCCGCAGCAGGGCTGAAATATAAACTAAATACCTGCCCGGGCAATAGAAATTGCGCACCCCAGTAATTTTCGACAGATTTGCCTTCATTTTCGGCCGAAAATTGCAGCAGCCGAAATTTCAGTGTATCACTAATTGTTAGAGTGTGTGATAGGTGATTCATTTTGCTTATGCTCATACATGCAAAAAAAAAAAAAGCGAACAACTTATAGGTAGGTAACTATTTACAACATTAATATTCAATATTTTACTATGTTCCGCCATCATTGTTGCTATCAGACTATTAGCATTTCAACAGCTGAAGCTTACCTTGCAATTGCCATCCCAATGTAGTATGACAAAGGCATTATAGAGAGCAGAGAGAGAGTGAATTTCACTGCAGAGCAGAGCTGGTGTAATTGTTATGACTATCAGCATATCCCAGAGACAAAGACACAACGACCAACAAGATTAGATCTTGGATGAATAATGTTAAGGATGAACACTCTTCACTTACACAGAAATGTCATAAATGATTAATTTTAAACATCATCTAAGCACAATGACTGATGTGAGCAGCGATTTTAGAGATCATTTTTTTTCTTGTTAGAAAATGAAAATGGGAGTCCGATCACAGGATAAATTTTATACAATTTAACAGAACAGGCAAAAAAGGATACTGACAGCAAATACGTTGAGTCCATCCACAGAGTACTTGTAGTAATAAATATTCACACTGTGATAGCAGCATAGAACAACTTCGTACTCACTGTAATCGTCTACCTAATGTGAAAAAGAAAAATCCAAGCAAAACTCAAATAAACTTGAACATACTTTGTGTTTTGTGTTATTCTTCCACTATCAATGAGCAATAAAGCCAGCATAAATTATTAGGGCCTTACAATTCTTGGACTGCGAACGTGCACATGTTCAGGAGGCATCATTAACACTTTAGTTAGTGTCCTTGCATTCATCTTTGAGATGGGAATAAAAAATATCAGGATCCAGGAGATAAAACATGCCAGTCCATGAGTCACTGCAAGCACAGGAAACCCCAGCATAAGCCAAATGTAGGTACTGACTCGCCACTGAAAAAGAAAAATGGTGAGTGTAAGGAGCGGGATACTGGACAACTAATTTATTTTTAACTAAAAACAAAACTAGAGCTGGAAGAGTAAATCATAGTTTTTAGTAGCTCTCCATATCAAGCATTGCGGGTATCAGACAATATATGAAAGAGTTTGCATATCAGATGTTCTCTTCACAAGCAAGGATGTCCTTCCTATAGTACAAATTTTAGATTTATTCTACCCATTGTGCAGCTCATCGTTAAAGGATCACTATAGGGTCAGGAACACAAACCTGTATTCCTGACCCTATAGTGTTACCACCAACATTTAGGTGGCTTGCCCCACCATCCCCTTAGGCCCATTAGAAGGGGTTAAAACATACCGTATGTCCAGTGCTGTGCACTGGCCCCTCCCCCAATCTGCCTCCTTAGTGACATCAAAATTTATGATTTTTAACCAATCCAATGCTTTCCCATAGAGAACGCATTGGAGTGGTTGAAATCGACAAGGAGGCAGGATGGCCATTCAGCACCTTCTCATAGAGATGCATTAAATCAATGAATCTGTGAGGAAAATTCAGTGTCTCCATGCAGAGCGTGGACACGCTGAATGGCAGTGCTTCACAGTGTGAGGAGTGGCCACAGGAGGTATCCCTAGGCTGTAATGCAAACACTGCATTTTCTCTAAAAAGGCAATGTTTGCATGAAAATGCCTAAAGGTCATTATATTCACCAGAACAACTACATTAAAAGGGACACTATAGGCACCCAGATCACTTCAGCTCATTGAAGTAATCTGGGTGCAGTGTCTCATCACCCTTAACCCGGAGCATGTAATTATTGCAGTTTTTAGGAAGCAGCAATAATTACCTAGATTACCTATTGCTAGAGTTAACTCCTGTCTACCAGACAGCCACTAGAGGAACATCACTGTCTATAGGCAACAATATGCTATCTGCTTATAAGGCTATTTTAATCCTTTGCTTGACACAGGATTTAAGACTAGTCCATACTTTGTGTGTTGTTATCCTAATTTGATTATCAATATATTTTTTATTGCAGCTGATGGTTATTTTCCCTTTTTAATTGTTGTGAGAAAGATACTTCTAAGAATATTTACAAGATTAATTATAAGTTGTAGTTGGTAAACCCCTGAAACAAGTTGCCCATATCTTCCTAAAACAATGTATCATTCAGCTGTTGATGTGTCACCCTCCCTTCCTGGGGCAGCAGGAGGAAGACAGAAGAAAGTTTTTTTTTAACTTAAGGGCATGAAATTAGGAAGCAGCATGATACTAACTCTCCGTTTTCGCTTCTGGTGCCCAGGTGCGGTAAATGCCATATATGTTAGTAGAAGATAGGGTGGTCATTAATTCCCCCTCAGTATTTTATTCTTTAGAGAAAAAAAAACACCACCATCCTGGGTAACTACTAACATGTAATTGAGTATTTCTGACTATATGTGTTCTTTTACATTGTGAACTGGGTGCCAAGATTTTTACTCCTTGTGACCACAACTGCAGACTCAATGTGTGTTGGGTTTAGAGTTTTGTATCTCATAGGGCTAGATCAGAAAATCACAGACAGCGGTTGAATCTACATTTGTATGGCCCTTAGACATTCAACCTGACCGGTCAACTCAAGCTAAATTAGAATATGGCACTAATGTAAAAGAGTGTTGATTGTCTGAGTCCAGAACGTAGTTCAAATCAGTACTGTGTCATTTGGTCCAAACTATTTAATATGTATATTGTTAAGATTGGCCAACTATAACAACATTGGAATAATGTAAAATTGACAAGAATACGAATCTTTTTAACATCTCAAGCTTGACTAGTGTAAGAGAAAAAACAATTGACAGTGTGTGTTTGTGTGTCTCTAGAGTGGCCTGCCTATATAAAAATAAATGAGGTTTTACATGAAATGGTACACCTTAAGTCGCTACCCATGTTTTCTGTGTGCAACGATGACTGTTAATGTGTGTGGTTAGGATACCCACGCGGTGAAATACTCCTGTTAATGTGTTGTTCTTAAAACACATTTGAATTAATTTATCCCAAATCTATAGATAGAAATCCCATCCTAATGGTGTGAAATGTATTTGCTTATTTTATTTACTTATTTTGGATTAGTTGTGGTTTATATATACATCCATGAATGTGTTTGCCTCCTCTGCTGGGTATCCATCCTAAATATTGACTACATCTTGTTTTCCATTTTGTGGGATGACAACAAGAGTTATAATACAATGTTTATGGAGTATGAATTCTATGTTTTGTAAAGAATTTGTGTGTTAGATGTTAATTTCTATTGTCTAGGAGTTTAAATAGTAAAGAATATTTGCATTTCATTAAAGGACCACTCTAGGCACCCAGACCACTTCAGCTTAATGAAGTGGTCTGGGTCCCTGGTCCAGCTAGGGTTAACCCATTTTTTAATAAACATAGCAGTTTCAGAGAAACTGCTATGTTTATGAATGGGTTAAGCCTTCCTCCAATTCCTCTAGTGGCTGTCTCATTGACAGCCACTAGAGGCGCTTGCGTGCTTCTCACTGTGATTTTCACAGTGAGAGCACGCCAGCGTCCATAGGAAAGCATTATGAATGCTTTCCTATGTGACCGGCTGAATGCGCTATTTGATCCTGAGGAGGGTCCCTGTGTGGACCGAAACGTTGATTGATCTCTTTTCTTTGATGGAATAAACTACACTTTGTATTCAGAAGTCCGTGAGTGCAGCCTGCTTTGCTTCGTTCACTGCTCTTGCCGCGCGTGCGCATTCAGCCGACGGGGCGGAACGGAGGAGGAGAGGAGGCAGAGAGCTCTCCGCCCAGCGCTGGAAAAAGGTAAATTTTTACCCCTTTCCCCTTTCCAGAGCCGGGCGGGAGTGGGACCCTGAAGGTGGGGGCACCCTCAGGGCACTATAGTGCCAGGAAAACGAGTATGTTTTCCTGGCACTATAGTGGTCCTTTAACGCAAGTTTTTTTTTTTTTTCTCTTTCAATTCTTTATTTTAATTGTGCATAAAGTTAACAAGCAGATTTGCCCTGCCACAACAGCTGGTGCAAACATAAAGGAAACATGCGATAACACTAGTATGGCATCAAAAACATTGCACATTTTTTATATAAACAAGATTAAGTCACTATTAGGTGAGTCGTGCATAATTTTGTGATAGAAGTCATAGTAGGTAATGCACATTTTTGTGTAAAATGACATGAAGACTATTTTTCATCATAAGTTATGAGTGGAG